TATTTATGAACACATTACGAACTACATGTGCGACTCGCGTTTGTTGTATGTATGTAGGTTTATTCGTCTCGTAATAGTGATAAAAGAATAAATGAACGATTATTATTATGTAAGACGGGATGCATGCACAAGACCGTACTGGCCTAAAACACAAATGTGCGGCATGCACCCTTTTTAACAAATATAAAACAAAAAACATTAGATTAAATATGTATAGTATGGTCCCTTATATGGGCTATACCAAGTGACACTATCAATTCCAGAAATTCTAGAAACACTAGACAATTCCAGAAATTTTGCATGTTGTTAGATGCAATATATTTTTACATTTTCAGCTACATGTTTTGTTTCATTGTCCAATCAATTGCTTTATTGAATATGTAAAAAATTGCACAAAAGTTACACACGAGAAAGTTTTACTCACCTAAGGATCAATTGAAGAAATAAAATAATTTCATACATATTGAGGGAAGAAAAAAGAGTTCCAAACTAGGCTAAGGTTCCTAAGATTGGGAACCATTGTGATATGCAGTTGAAACAGATTGATTGATTAACTTTGAGTTATTGACGAATCGGTGGCCTATTATTAACTCCGGCTGCTTTCCTAATAGTCCCTGGGGGCGGATTTCAAATATTTTACATTGGTGATGGGTTATGTATGGCCACACATAGTCTAATAAGAATGATTTGAATATACAATATATAGACAATTAGTAAGAAGCAAACGTTTTAAATGTCAATACCAGCATTTCTCAAACTTTTTTGCCCCAGAACGTGTATGCTTTTTATCTCGCCTCACGGAACATCAATGAATTAGAAGGTAAAATTGATGATAAAAAAATTGTGTAATGGATCTACGTTGTGCATCAACTTGCGCAACTAGCTTATCACTGCATCTTTTGAAACTTCTAGTTTTAAATTAACAATCCACTAAGAAAAGTGGGTGATGTTTCAAAAATTTAGCTCATAATAAAATATAAAAAGTTTGCTGTTAACTTGACAATCAAAAATTAACGTTCAACGATATTGAACGGCCTGGATAGAAATATTGATAACTGAGACTCAAAGTTTTAAAATGAAAAATGAATTTGTCTTATGGCACATTCTAAACCAAGTACAAGATCATGGTTAAATTATCAGAGTAGATTATATTTCCTGCACAGGTGACAAGAACTTTTTTTTTAATGTATTGTTATTATTTGAAATGATTTGTGAAAGGAAATCCTCGTTTTTAAAGATTTTGACAATTTTCTCTTAAAAAAAAGATCTTGCACATTATTTCCACATACCAATCACATACACACATAGAAGCACATTATTGCATGAAAATTTCACATAACATTTATGACTTAATAGTAGCGATTCTTTAGATGATTTGTGATGCAATAATTATTTTTTGCATGTCTTTGCAGTGTTCCCATACCTTTAATATGCATGATCCCTTTGATTTTTCTGACGAAGAGCTGTAGTATATATTTGATTTTTTTTAGTCGTGTTTGTCTTTTTACCCCCCTTGTCCCCAAATCTTCATGGGATGTTGATTCTCTCCATACATGGCTTCGAAAAAGTAGCAGCTTATGTAGGGAAGAATGCACTAACTATTGATTTTAATGTCACAATGTCCCTACCACAATTTTGTGTATGAAATCACAATTGTTAAACTTTTCGCCATCGCACGGAGTTCATGTAACCGTTGGTCGCTTACGACTTCACCATCAAGTTTATGCATCTGAAACAAATAACTGGTAACCAACCTGCTGACGGGTCGTAGTCCGCCATGTGATCAAGCTGTCTTGGAGCTTTCCATCTCCCCCAGGATAAGAATGTGAAATGCGAACCTTATTGACTGGTATTGAAGTCTTTCATTGGTCAGTCAAATTGGTTCGTTATAATATCCTGCCTTACTCAACTAATGTCTTCTGGAATTTTTGTCTTAATTGGGAAATTAGAACATTTTTTTTATTGTACCGGTACTTTTGCAACTGAATTATTTTTTTGTGATTATTTTGGTTTTGACCAAAATCGTTTCCCCCCGAATTGAGGATCATTTACTTTCAGCTTGTGAGAGAAACGGGCATTTGGATTCGGATTGCAGCCAACAATTTGACAGTTTGAATGAAAATCATCAGCTGAACAATATTTCAAAATCCGCTCGTAAAAAACTACCACTAGGTGGTGGCAAACTAGGTCATAGAGGTCGAGGGAGGTCAAAATACGAAAGACTTCAAAAAACTGGACATGTGTCCACCCTGGTCGGAAAGTTTGAACAGCAATCTACTGACCAATCAAAATCAGATGTACAAAGGTTAAAGTTGAAAGTTCGTGGCGATCAACTTCCCATGTCAAAAATCAAAGGTCATAATAATAGGATTGACCAAAATGAAACTCAATGCAGTAAAACGGAAAATGCGAGACTTCTTGTTAAGTTAGCGTAATCACCGGACTTATTGGCTTTAGTACTGCAAACTATTTTCCATGACGCAATGATGCATCGTTGTGCTTTTTTACAGATATTATAATGAACTGTGTTCTTTTGAACTTTCATAACTTGTTCCTTCAAAAAAGTTTTCAGTCGTTAAATTCTGTTGGATGTCAGCTCAGACCCGTTTATCGTCAGTGTACCTACAATACAACTCTCTTGCCCAAAGTTTTTTCGAGAGCTTCGGTTATTCGTAGCTGTTTTTCTATTGAATCTGACTGTTTTGAGTCTCTTGTCGATTGGTATTTATTAACGCGCAATTTCATACCGTAACTCTTTATAACAGTGGCTACCAAGGTTGATTGGCCGGGCCAAATTAGAAGCGGAAGGATATTTGTGGGCCGAGAGAGGGGTGCACCCGCAAAGGGCTGATACCGATACGTATAATTAACATACTGGTGTAACTGAATTGTTATAAATATACACATGCTTAAACTGTGATAATGACATAACAATTGGCGGTATCCATAACGCGAAAAGAAAAAAACATTAAAAAGTATTAACCATTTCACTCAAGTTCGGCGGGCTAAGGTCTGGGAACCATTGCATTGGGTCTCAGCAGTCCTTGGAACTTATTGGTTGCCCATATTAGTTAAATGAGAATGCCAACCACCCAGGGGCGCAGCCAGGATTTTTTCAAGGGGGGGGTTACGGTGAAATAAAAACGCGTTTATAGGTCTTTAAAAAGATGTTCCGACGATGGCAAAACAACATGTGCGTCGCTGTGTCTCATTAGCCTTTCTTTGCATGTCCTACTTTCAGCAATCGCCGACCATTCTCTTTGGTCAAAAAAAATCAATCAACTTTTCATTTCAATGCGCCGTTAACTATATTACTGAAAGTGAATTCGTCGCAAATTCAAATTCCTGTGATATTTGCACATAACGCTTCTCTACTTTTAGCGACGATTTATCAACATATTATTACCAGTTTGTTAATAATGCATGCTATTACTTTTGGCAACATGGTTAAATTGGTTTATCGTTGTTTCAAGCAAGAAAATAAGCATTTGTTTTCTTCGCTTATTCAGCAATCGTAATTCAAATATTTCCCTATGCGAAAGAAAGTCTTCACTCCGCGGGGTGTCTCCGCGGTGTTTAGAGTTTCAAAGTGATGCCGAAACTGCCGATGATAGAGAAACACCGACACATGTGGCTATTTGTCGCCAGACCCTGCCCCCTTTGACATGCGTCAATTCGTTTATTTTGTTTTGGCATGTCCCATTTCAACCTTTTAGTAATCGCCGATTATTACGTCATTGTCAACAGTTAAATAAAATGCCATCGTCATGATTTTAATTGAAATACCGCAAAAAATGTAAAATAAGAATAGAATGAAATATTACCAATCATGAAACATTAAGAAATAGCATAAATTAATGATATTTGCCAAATGCCAATGGTTCATAAACTATTTTTGAGTGCGTCACGAAATATCAATCCATTTCCAAAATAAATATATTTGATGTTCCCGTATTTATAACTTCATAAAACGATTACAATCATTTAAAAACAAGCTCATGTATCGTACTGATTGGGAACGTCTTTCAATGTAAAACTCTTGCTTGTTGCAATTAACTGTTAATAAATTCTAATTTTTATTGCAATGCATCGAGACCTATATTACTGAAAGTGAAATCGTCGCGAATTTGAAATCCCGCGCCCGTGATAGCTGCATTCTGCGCATAACGCTTCTTCACTTTCAGCGATAATTTAACTATAATAATTTAATTATAATTTAATAACATATTGTTACCAGTTTATTGAAAAGATCTAGAAGACAACGCATGTAACTGCTTTTCGCAGACAGACGATTCCAAACGAGTCTTGGACGAGTTTGCTACCCAAAAATCTCGAAGATTGAACATTATTCTTTAAAAAAAAATTTCCCGAAGATTGAACATTATATTACGATACTTTTTACTCGAAGATTGAACATTATTTTGCAATGCTTTGTTTTCGAAGATTGAATAATATTTTATGACACCTTTTTTCGATGCTGCCACATTTGGCAATCCTTTGTTAATGAACCATACATTTCCAATAATTCATTTTGTCTGTTATTTGCTTATGATCCTGGTGCCATCGCTTGTTAAAGATGCACTACATAACTAAAATTCGTAATTAGCGATAAGCCGATAACCAACGATAACGTATGTGATTAAAAGTATGGATGCGTTGAATGTGGCGAGGCGAGAGCGCGCTTGTGGAATAGTTTTGACGGCAATAGTGTGATACGTCCGTTGCTATTTGTGTCAAGTGAAAGGTAGTACAATTGTATTTTAAGATGTTTAGTGTAGATTGTCACTTCCGTGACTCCCCGCTGGCAGCTAGATCCACTGCCGCGTAACAGCGATAACGAATCGTAAACATAAATAACAAATTAGGACGCTGGGCGAAAGTGATAACGCAAAGAATAAAATTATTGCAAGTAAACGTAACACTATTAAAAAAAAAAAGATTCCAAAGGGGGGGGGGTTACGACCCATGTAACCTCCCCCCTGGCTGCGCCCCTGCAACCACCTCACACAGAGTGTGATGAATTGAGTAGACAATGCGAATCGGTAGACATTTTCAGTTCTTTTAAATTATACTGCATGCACGAGCCCTTGTGTATAGAAATGTATTATTACTTAAAAAAAAATTTAGTTTGATATTTCATAAAGGTATTATCCAGAATGAATGTTTTTTCCAATTCGTGTTTGACAAGAAATTTTGTTAATTATAAAAAGCTATTATCGAATTTATTATTCTTTTGCCAATACTAGCGCTTACTATTCGATGGATTTAACCCAGAAATGCGAAATTCGAGATATGTTGGAAAAATGAGAAAATTGTAGTTTTGATTTTTATAATCCTTTGACTTTTTTGAGGTGAATAATGCCCCTAATTATGATTACCAGCTTGAAACAAAACTTGGCGAATTTTTTTTTCTGAAATTCAACATTTCGTTTTTTTTTTTCTTGAAATCAATCTGGACTCGTTGCCTTTTTTCATTTTGAATTGAAAGACTTTGTTCCCATATTTTGTTGGAGATCCATGAAAATAACAACTCGTATGCATAGCAGTTTAATTGTGGACATAGTAGCCCCACCTAGCAGAGCTGTGTTGTTAGAGAAAATTTACGATTAACTGTAAATTCGACCCATTTTAAAAACGACTCAACTCAGTATTGCTTAAAATTTTAAGTTTGAAATCCCGTCCTCTATGAATTCGATATTTCACTCCAGTGGGATAGATATTACAACTTCGAGGCCGATAATTGTGACCTGGGCCACCTGGTATATAGTTTGCTTACTGATACGACTTTATCTTATTATTCTTTGTTACTGCTTCAAGTTTTATGTACAAACTCATTTTCCATCCATTGTATTTATTGAAGAAAATTTTTTGTCTTATTATCTTTTATATATCATCATGTAACATAAATTTTTTCATCAAAAATGTGTTTTAACAACATTTCAAGATGTCAGCTGTGTAGACTTGGGCCATGGGGTCCGGAAAACATGTGTCAAATGTCTCATTTGAAAAATGTCAAAATTTAAAGAATTGTTCATATACGACAATTTTGACGCCAGGTTTCATTCTGGCGAGGAAATTTGGAACCTTAGACTCCGATCCCCTGGTACAACTGGACCTTCCAAACATAGCAGGGATGCCAAAAAAATTTAAATGAAATCAATCCAAGTTTTTTTGAGTGACACATAATCGAAAATGGCGTGTAAGAGATTTGATACACATAATTAAAATGGCTGTTTTGCTTTGTAATTGTGTGGTATACAAATGTGGTTTATGGTCACTGCTGGCTTTTAGAAATAGGGGCATACCCAGGGGGTGAATTTTGCAAGTTGGAATCCTCCTTTCCCCTTTCCAAATGTAATTTTTTCGTATCATTCATAGCATAGACTCTTGGAAACCAACATTTTTCTGCCGGAACCAGCTGGATGTTACAGTCTAACTTGGCTATAAGAAATTGCAGAAATTTGGTCGGAGTTGCTGATATTTTTTTTTACAAGAATTAATTTGCTTTTTTTTTTGTAAAATCATGAATTTCACCAAACAGTGCAATGGATCAATTGCAAAAGTAATTTCAGAGTGTTTGTAACCATATATGGGCATCCCTGATCTCATGGCTCCTAAATTTAAAAAAAAACGGTTGAAGCGTGACCAGTCGGAATAATCTCATAGTAACAAGCAGGTGCTCGTGCTGCTACTTTTTATTTTGACTAAAACAAACATAAAAGAGTTTTAAAGAAGTAACTTTACGATAAGACGGTATTTTGATTGGTCATGCCTCAATAATTCTCACTAGTGGCGGAACTGTACTAATCCTTCATTTGTTCACTATATTTCATTATTGACAAATATATGCCGTTTGTTTTTCCAGAATATTTATTAAAAATACATAATTACAGAGATTGGTATGTTTGTTTGAATAACACTAGCAATACTTGTGCAGAAGAGGAGAGAAAAGCATAGAAGAAAAACCTCGTCTCGAGTTCTAATTTGCTGCGAGTATAGCCAGCGATGAAATTCAAAACTAGGTACTCCTGTAGTATGTGTACCAGGTTATGGCTAGGCCATAATTTTATTCCGATTTTCTATATTTTAGTTCTATTACGAGTTCGGGCCGGTCTGTGTTAGCTGAGTGAATATACCCCCTGGCCATAGGTTTCAGTTCCCTGTACACAACTTGATGTAAAGTAGGCGAACAAAATTAGTCACTTCCATATTGGTACACAAACTTCTGGAGCGCCGATTTGAAATTTCAAGAACTTTCTTGTAGTTGCACAAAAGTTTTGGGTATTGATCTTATGGCATGTGTTGTTCGCAAGCAAATTGATTGGAATTACTTGCACGTAGCAGGTTAAATAAATTAAAAACTCGTTTCGAGGGGCGCACACCATTCAAAATTGGCACTTCTCCGCGGGCTACACAATTTTTCTCTGTGTTCCGAAGGTTGCGCACCCCTGTCCTATATTATAAGTTTATTTCGACAGAATCAACGAAACATAAAATAAAATGATTGATTTAACAAATAAATAAAAAAACGATTATGAAATCAGGATACCAAACAAAACCTTAGATGAGGTTAAAAATGTAACAAATATAAGATGGACGATTTTGCCAAAAAGTTATACGTGTTTCTGAATGAGTGCTTGAAACCTTGCTTCGAGCAAATTTTCGTAAAAAATGTGGAAAAATCATATATTTTATGCCACAAAGTGCCCTGTTTCACGATCAAACAACATTTGACGTTTTGTTGACTTGAGTTTTGTAATTTTTCTGTATGTTGGGAAGTTTGAACTCAATTAATACAAATCATTACTTTATTATTGTTTTGTCAGCGAGGTAAATGGAGATTCCTTATGCTAAGCCCTTCTGTAGATGGTTACTATTTGTCCTCTACTGGGACTATGTTCAGACGAACTCCAATATTGCGCAATTTGAATCCGATTTCCAGTGCTTATCTATGGAATACAAACTCATGCTTTGGAAACACCATGTTCGAGCTGACATTTGCTTTAATTCACGGAACCAAAAATCTCTGAAACTAAAAAAATTTCAACATTGGCGATTTAGTGAGCCTCTACTGCTATCTAGTGGATTTAAATTTGACCCGGAATCGAGGAATTTCATTCGAGAAGTCAGGAATTCAATATTTTCTTTTGTGAATCCAACGCCTATGAAAACAGCAGTTCAACTCGTTGCAATCTCAAGTAATGCACTGGAAAACACTCTGGACTTGGATACCGCTGATTGCAATGTTTCCAGAAGTTTTCTTGATTTTATCAGCGGAAACAAAGTCTTGAATGGAAGTTTTCCTCTTGCACACAGGTTAGTATTGGGTGTTCATATGGTGCTCCCGAAGTATGTGTACCAAGATGGCGCACAACCTGAACATAGTATGTGTAACAGGTTAGGATTCAGGTTGTGCGTTATCTTGGTAAACATACTACGGGAGTGCCATATTAGTGTTCATATTAATCCTGATGGGGGGGGGGGAAGATGATAAGACGACTGAATTGATCCATTTCATTTTCAGATATAGGAAGAGTAGCCACTCATTTGTTTCAGATGCATGAACTTGATGGTGGAGGAAGTGACTGGCAGTTAGGAGAAATACCCTATGGCAAGAAGGAGACCAATATTCCTGTCACACATAATAATCCTTTGAAGCATTTGAACCTTTGAATCTTGAATGCGGTTCTTGGAGCCGCATGCACCTTTCAACTATTCTTTCTGCGGCTTATTAATTCTATCCAGTAAAAATTTGTTTTTTACCCCGAGTTTTGTTGATATTTTAATTTATCGTATGTTTTTTTTATGGGCTCCTTACAACTATAAGGTTTGAAATTTGGCTCTGACACTAGTTTCTTAAGTTTCAGAAAGATCTTAACTAGTCTGGCATGGCCATCCCTGACAAGCGGAAGTGATGCTTTCATTTATTTTATGTTCCACTACTTTCAAAAGATATTATACCTTCAAATTTACATTTTATGACAGTTCTTTTTTTTTGACAATCTTTTCCTAGGTATGGAGGCCATCAGTTTGGATCGTGGGCCGGACAGCTTGGCGATGGTCGAGCTCATCTGCTTGGTGAATACGTGAACTCAAAGAATGAAAGATGGGAGTTGCAATTGAAAGGTTCATGCAGTTCATTGTAGCATTTAATATAAGTTTGGGTACTCCAGACGTATGTGCACCATGATGACGGACATTGGAATGTAGTATGTGTACCAGGTTAGGTTTAGGCCATAATTTCAGGTACAAATAGTACGGGAGTCACTTGACACATACTACGTTCCGGTGTCCGCCATCTTTGTGCACATACTTCTGAAGCGCCCGAGTTTGTCCATTGAAAAACCCACAAGTCTGATGAATTCTAGAATGAGGAATAAGTTTGCTGGCACGATGGCCTAGTTCAGGGGTCCATCTCTAATACAGAAGGGCCAGATACAAATAGTTGTGTGAAACAGCAGGCCGCACCTTTAGTTAACATCAGAATTATAATAGTAAGGGAATTACTCACACGTACCATATTAAACTTTTGCGGGCCACACACCTTTCAAATTAGTACTTCACAGCGGGCCTCATTTGGCCCATAGGTTGCTCATCCCTGGCCTACAGGTTTTGCAAAATACACCCAAATCATAACGATTTTTGTGAGAAGGTTTTTGGGTCTCAATTCATACTGAAATTTTGATCATCCTATTTATTCAGGCTCCGGTCTTACACCTTACTCCCGCCGAGGAGATGGTAGAGCAGTGCTTCGTTCCTCTGTGCGTGAATTTTTGTGCAGTGAGGCGTTACACCACTTGGGGATTGCAACATCGCGTGCAGTGACCCTTATCGTAACAGACGACCCTGTGACACGAGATCAATTCTACAATGGGAATATAAAAATAGAGCGGGCAGCTGTTGTTTTACGTCTTGCTCCTTCTTGGTTTCGAATTGGTTCGCTGGAAATATTAGAATCGAATAATGAAATAGATCTCTTACGGCACCTTGTGGACTTCATTATACAGAACTATTATCACAAAGAAGTAGATTCTTCGTCCGAAAATGAGTACGTTCAATTCTTCGGTGCGGTTTTTAACAGAACATTGGTGACTGTCACAAAGTGGATGGCGGTTGGGTTCACTCATGGAGTTTGCAACACTGACAACTACAGTCTCCTCGGATTAACAATCGATTTTGGTCCATTCGGATTCGTAGAAGAATACGATGAAAATTTTGTTCCAAACACATCTGATGATGAAGGCAGGTATTCACTTGGTAAACAACCGTCAATTGCAATGTATAATCTGGACAAATTACGAATCGCGATTTTGCCTTTATTAGACAAAAAAGGCCGCAAAAATGTTTCTAAAATCTTGCATACATTCAATGAAAGATATCAAGAACTTTTGATGAAAGAGTTTCGCAAAAAACTTGGACTTTTCAATGAATTTGAAAATGATTCTTTATTACTTGCATCACTGTTATATCTTATGCAACAAACGAGGGCTGATTTCACTTCAACTTTTCGCCAACTCAGTGAGTTGACTGCAAATGAAATGTTCGTGGACTCAATTCCTAGTTACTTATGGGCTTTAAAAATTTTATCAAGACATGAGTACTTTTCAAAGTGGTTGGAATCGTATCGTTTGCGGTTAGAAGACAATCCAGGAAGTGTTAGTGATGAAATCAGGATGAAAAGAATGTGCAGCGTAAATCCACGCTATGTTCTTAGAAACTGGATGGCAGAAGAAGCGATTCAAAAAGCTGAAAAAAACGATTTCTCAGTTGTTCGTAAAGTATTGAAAATTTTGCAACGGCCTCACACAAAACAGATAATCGCAGAAAAACTTGGCTATGCCAGTCCAAGCCCTGATTGGGCAACACATCTAAAAGTCAGTTGTTCATCTTAGTGCAGACGTTAGCAAAATATGCAAGTGGAACAAGAGTTATTGGGGTCAAAGGTCGAATTTGATAAAAAAAATCAAGCATCAGTTGTTGGAACCCCTGCTCCAAGTTTTAGAAATTTGCCATCAAGTCCATGCATCTAAGCAAATTCTTGGGCCCATATCCGATATGAACTGGCCAATGGGGGCTAATAAGTGGCTATGGTAGTCTTTCGCAGCCCCGCGTCAATATTGTGTGCCTTTCTATTTCAATTGATCTTTTTGTTAGCATTTCTTATTACTTGTGTCGCTACAATATTTCATGCACGACGGAAATAAAATATCTGAATCTATGGTATCATTGGCTTCCCACCTTTAGCATAAATATTTCTATCCAGTTTCTTATTTTATTATATTCACCTTAAAGCAGGAATCCTGGAAGAAGTCACATATACATAAGAACCCGGGCTTTGTTGGCTTTTATTAATAGTTAAAGCTAAATAATGTTGAATAAAGTGCAATTTTTTTTCTAAAAAATATATATTTTACCAATGTTGGTGGTCAGTATAAGTATAGTTACATGCCAAGCTTTAAAGATGTGGCAGCTGTCTGAACCGAAAACTGATCGACAAACTATTCGCATGTCCAAAACGGATTGGTGACCTAATTAGAGATTGTGACAATCTTATCGACTCTTTTCTGGAACGAATATATGATCAATGCTAGAGTTATGGGTTGGTTTCGTAAATAAGCAAGTTTAAAAGCTATTACCCATGAAAATTTTCACATCAACTCGCACAAAACAATCAATCAATGTTTATTACTGCTGAAATATTTTCTTTATTGTACTATTATCTATTATTATTAATTATCGATCGGTAAGTATGTTGATAGGTATTTGTTTGTCTGTGTATAAGTTTATTTCGACTCCATAATCAGCATAACAATACATTTGACAGATAAAAACAAATAAATAAAAACTGATTATGAAATCAGGGGAGCAAACAAAACCTTAGATAAGGTTTATAACGTACAAAATATAAGATGGAAGGTTTTGCCAAGAGGAAGTGGTACGTGTTTACTCACTGTGTGTTAGATGCACGCGATATCTCACGAAAGTGAGATTCGATCTGCTGCAGATTTTGCATGTGCATTCATCATAGCTCGGATCAGAAGCATATTGATTTTGGATGGATTATGTCGTGTACTTAGCGAGTTAATTAGTCATGGGACACACTGTGTCACTATGGAGTAAGACCACTGTTTTGGGGGATCCCCTAACCCTCGATCGATGAGTCTTCGGTTTCCAAACTAATTCTAGTTGTTGGACACGTAGTGGACATGGCGATCGTTTCAATATTATGTTCTTGTTCTTTGACACGTTTTTAAAAGTCGCTTTCTCTTTGATTACTGGACCAATTGCTTTGAAATTTTCAGTGGTTAAAGATAAAAATTTTCTTCAGAGAGCTATTACTTTGCTATGACTTCATCAAAATTATTGCCATCAGGTGGCGCTACGTGTCCTTATATTTGAGCATAGCTCTCTTGTTTATATTAGTGTTGATTTTGTTTTTGTGGCAATAAATCTCTCTCTCAAGTTCTAAAGAAAATTTTATTCTATTGTAAGGCAATAACGTGAATCGTTTTGTTAAATTATTGTTGTTTATAATGTTGGAAAAATATTTGGCGCTCCGGAAGTATGCGCACCAAGATAGCGCACAACCTGATCCTGGTACACATACTATGTTCAGATTGTGCACATGCTTCGGGAGCACCAAATATTTTGCTCCGCATCTAATGAACGAACAGAAGGTAGCCGTTCCTTAACTCTTAATTTTGCCATTCCGTTATAATAGACGGGAACACGTCAATTCCGTAACGTTTGTTATTTCCAGGAGCCGAGACATATGTGAATGATAATAATTAAATCTGAAAATCCCAGTAAAGCAGAGAGATTGCTTCAAAATCATTTTTAAAACGCACAGAAATTTACGAGACAATAATAATAATTAATACCAATTCAATCAACTAAATTTTCTAGATTTTGTTGTCACAAATAATGTTAAAACTACAGAGGCGTATCCAGAATATTTTGCGACCGGGGCAAACTATAAAATTGGCGCCCCGACCTCCACGTTTAATCATATTTTCTATTACATTTAATTGTATTGAAAAATATCAACTTACATCGGAGTGCGCAGGCAAGAATTTAACGACACTGAACCACGTAATTGACCCCGTGCATTTTGTTACCTAACGTTACTAAATCAATTTTTGCTCCGTTTCCCGGACAGCTTTTTTGGCCATGTAATTACGATGGAAATCTGACCTTGCGCGAGCTATGTGCCTGATGACGTCGGCAGTCGACGTAAGCGGATCTGACCGACTGTGCAGTTGGCCATGTACTAAGACTAGATGTCTTCCGCCGGTGCAATCATGCTTGTGATCGGTTTTTGACCCTTGTAAAATTTTCACAAGCCCCATTTTGGCGCCCCCGTATTTTGGTGCCCGGGGAAATATGTACCCCCCCCCCATTATTTGTCAGGTTCATTGTGCGACATCAGTTTGGTTACTAAGGCTCCTGGCCCAAATCAATCATATATGGCCCAAATCAACACCAGCGATGGAATGTGGATAAAATATGAATAAGTGAGCAACAGTAAAAAAATTATAGAAATTTCAGTAATATATTTATTTTTTACCAATTATTTTATCGTATTTTATGCTAAATATGGCGTCGAAAAATCTACCACTAGGTGATGCTGTCACGAGTTGAGCTGACTCCGTTTAGTCAAGTTTGCCCAGCCTTTCCTGGCTGCCTGAATACCGGTACTGAAATAAACTACAGTATCAATTTTATCCATAGATGTTAGGGAACTCGAAGCATAATACCCTTAATAAAAAGATTAAAGATTGATGCTATCGAAGGTTAGTACTCTCAAATGTTATAGTATTTGTAGAATATTCTGACACAGAGAGGGTTGTCACCTAGTCCAGTAGTCTCAATATTATCGGTTCCGCAGTCTGTCAGTTTTAGTTTCTCAGTCAGGTTGCCTGCGATGGCATTTTGTGTATAGCATTTTTAAAGTTAGGATTCACGATTTGCCTTTTTGAAATGCATTCAAAATGCAGCCAGTTTTCTGGTTTTAGTGATTATTCTAAGGCTATTTCTATTTTACAATTTTGTTGGGTTTTTGATAGAGAGAGAGAGGTTTAATTTTTCCTCAACCAAAATAAAATAACAGTCATCGTAATTATAATAATACTAATAAGTAATAAATTAGTTTTGTATAGACCGCAGGGAGTGATACGACCATACGGTCATCAAAGTCAACTCCCCCCCCCCCCTCTTCAAGAAGAGGAACACAACAATATACTGATATAGCATGATATAATTAGATTTTCTCATTTGCCCAGTGTAGAGAAAAAGACATCTTAACCAAATAGGGTGGCTTACCCACTTTAAGGACACGACCTATTGGCGGTCATCAACTTCATCGATTATTTTAATACCGAAAAAATTAACGAACCGCGATGATATTTCTCACGCATTGTCGTCCACTTATCCCTCGTAGCTCTGCGAAATTACATTGAAATGCAGCCACAAAACAAAAAAGTTACGAACGAATACCCACCCGAAGAAAAAAAACGACCATTTTTTCATGTCGCCAACTACCCATTGTCTCTTAAAAAAAGCTTGAAAATCCATACAAATATAAGCGACAAAAAGATGAAACGTGGCAGGTGGGTAGAGTTGTTTTTCTTTTAACCATCTTCAAAGTTTCGCATTTCAACATTTAAAGGAGGGGGAATAGGGGGTGCGCATTTTCAATACATCGATAATATCTTTGTCGACCAATTTGCGATCATTGTGTTTTTGTCTGTTTGATTGCTGTGGTTGCGGTGCGGTGTTTACAATTTGACAAGTTGTGTTCGAAATAACCGTGTTCCTAAAATATAAGGCGGTCAGAAATGCAATTAGAAGCCAAATTTTTTCACGCATGGCTGCGTATGTGCTAGTCTCAACGCAGCATAAGCGATGTTCAAGGCTTGAAATCCGCGCTCGCACACTGGTCGTTCGGTCGCAAATACATCTTCAGAGTGTCGTGGTTTGTATAGCTTTAACCCCTGGTCGTAGAAAGTTAATTCGAGATTTACCGTGTAGAATAAATGCCAATGCACCTACGGTGAAAAAATTAACGGATTAGAAATATTGGTTTTATTTTAAAGCGGTTAGAATGAAATCGTCCGCAGACTGGCTGCACCAACCTAGTTCTGCAGTACTCAGATTTCAAGATGTCCTGACATCAATAAAGTAATAGCTTTATTTGTCACTAAAAGGAGGACGTCTTGCATTGTCAGTAAGTTAATAATAGTGGCAAAACCTGATAGATATTTGATTATATGTAAACAATAAACACATACAGTGATACCTTTGTAGAACGACTCAATACTCTGAACAATTCGGTTGTTGGCCTAAAAATTCTAGTCGATAACACTGCCGTACATGGATGGCAATTCAGTACTAGAACACCTAAGGGGATCGTCAAATGAGATGAAAACCTTGGAATCGCACTTTTTGACCATTCAACAAGAGAGCGATGCCTATATATATTGGCATGAAGGCCAAAATAAAGTAATATGGGTATGCAATCTGTCACAGTAGAGCACGGTACGCAAAATTGGGGGCTACATAGTTCACTCAACAATGAATCGAGCAAACTATTCCTTTTGCTTTCACGTTGTAACGATCTCAATATGAGAGAGATCGTTAGCGAGTTCGTTACCTTCGTCAGAGATGCCATTTCTGACTTTTCTTTGGCACGCTCTATGACGTGATTGGGACGTCATAGTGATGTAATTTTTCGATGACACAGTCAGGTGGGGGTTAAGGGATAACATATGCGAAAATCTTTGTGCCCAGACACTTAGAAGTACTTACGGCATTTAGTGAACGAAATACGAAACTTGCTCAAACATACAGTAACCAATACAAACTATTTTTATTGTTATTAAGTACACATCCAAATAATTATTGTTGTCTAGGTACACATTTTGTTAATATTTTTGGCATTTTAGAATGTGTAAGATTTTTCTTATTAAGACACCAATTCAGTAGTTGCTTACCAATCCTGAATAAATTATGTTCGACTACCATGGTATTACCGTATGTACATAAAAGCAAGCCTAATACAGACGAAGCAAAATGATCTTTAACGTGTAGGAAAATTGATAATATTGGCAAACTTATAAGTTATTATATTTAAACAATATTCATATCCTAAACTCCTGGATTCCAATAGAACGCCAGTTGAAAACCACCGAGTAACAAACATGTTTCTCATGCAAATAAAAATT